ACGAGGAAAGAGCATCTGATACTCCACTCCAAGTGGAACAGATGGTCTGGTTTTTATGTGGATACACCCGGCCTCGCAGTCTCCACGGAAGTGCATAAGTAATTTTATGGATCATAATTTTTGAACAGATAGTTTCTTCAACGACGTTTCAGACATCCAGTTCAAGCAAACGGTCAGCCATTGGTAGTAAATCTCAATCACCTTAAACCAAATGTTTCTGATAGTAATGAAATACATACGGAAGTTGCTTTCCAAGAAATGATACTGATTTTTCACGTTTTGATAATTATTTATCATGGAAGAGATTTCACGAACTATTATTTCTTCGGCATGAGTAAATAACTTCTGAGAGTTGATATATAAAAAACTGTGAAGATTGTTTTTTACCTTAAAGTACTCCCCTTATTTAAAGCATAGACCTTAAGGACGACCATGCCCTTAATAAGAAAACATTATATTTGGCAGTAATGATTGTTGGAACTTTGGGCGAGAGATGCCCCTTAGAACAGGCACAGCGACCATCTCTAATACGCATACATCAATATAAAAAGCTACGGCGCAAAGTGGATCCTGTTTTGACGAGTATCAAATATTGCTTTTTTATGAGCATATACATGGACATGGCAGGCCAATAAGGCCTTTCACACGGATGCCGTTGTAAGCGTTCGGCGGATACCATCGCAACAAATGAAGCTATTCTGCGCACTCTACCAGTTTTTGTATGAACGAGAAGAATACGATTATTAACTTGCGGTAGTAAAAGAGAGGATATTAATTAATACCAGATTGAACTTTTGGTGAACATAAAGTTTCAATTCGGTACATTAATAAGGAAAACCTCAATAATTGTGACATATGGCCATCCCTCGTACTACTTGGAACTAAGGACATTAAAGTTGACCAAAAGTCGATCCTACACATGTGCGTCTCGGTTGTTTCAATTATCTCAGTATTCTTGTAAATAATTTGTTTCTCACTGCTTCTCTGAACCATCTGTCGATAGCACGGATATTAACGTATACGAAATCGACTGAGGTCACTATTAAATTGAAACAAGTTTATTTTTACACATTGAAAGTTGAAAAATATTGATAGGATATCTTTGAACTACGAAGCCACTGATGCTTCAGGTGTTGTGCCACCCAATTGGCCAGAACGCGCCTTTATGTTGTACAAATTGTCACACATTCCACTATCATTGAATGTTTTAAAATGCAGGATTTCGGTAGCAGAAATCTCAGATCTGATGTTCGCGGAAAGTTCTAACAGCCGAGTCAAGAAGCAGTCTGTGATGACGGTGCTTTCGGATGGAATGGCATCATGAATATGCAGCCGTAGGTGCATTAATTTCATTGCCATTTATCGAGTATTTTTAAGTTATATGGACGTCAATCTCAGGTAGGGAGAGAGAGACAGTGTTTTTGAATAACAAGAGGTGAATTGACACGGAGATAATCCAGTTATTCCAATTTTTTCCATCACAATTATCCCCAGCGAGTTTGTTCAAAATAGCAACATAAAGAAAACACAAAGGCCGAAATAAATTAACAATGAGTTAATGCGTGATACAGTAATTAACTACAGGAGGGTTGTTTTATGTTTTACTTCAAACATAATGGGCAACAATAATTTCACAGAATTTATTTGGAGCCATCTTCATGTTTGAACCATGTTTGGCGGTGTTTCTGAAATTAACTCATAAAAATGAATGTCCTCCGTGGATCGAAGAAATTTTATCGGGTTCGATGCTGTTTGCTTCGAATGAAGGGGGGGGGGGGCACTGTATTTTCATACCCCAAACGGTTTTTAAAATTACCAACTAACAGCAAAAGGGTTGAAGTTAGAGGTAGAATTGCGTAGATAGAAGAGAAAGACAAATATGGTATGAGTGGATGACGAATGCCTGCCAAAAAGTAATGAAAACTGCAATCAGAAATCAGAACAGAATACTGTTTTATTTAAAAAATCAAAGTTTATTTGTGATAAATGAACGATCTTTATGAAAAATATATTGAAACATGGGATAGGCAAAGCAACACACTAATATACAAAGTGTATGAAGTGATACCTAGAGAAGGTTTTCCGGGAAATGCTGTTGTTTGATTTAATTTTTGTGACCCTAAAATGTCCGGCACAGAAAATTTCCCTAGATGGCACTAGACGTGAGAATACTAAAGTAGCCTATCGGTAATGTTAGTAGCTGTATTTTGTCCAGATTTTAAGTCAATGAGTACGGCACTTACAATATTTTTTCTTCTTAGCCCCTAGTCATCGAATCTGATCTTGGATATTACGTTTTTCAAAACTCTATTCGTTTGTTGTGAGTGTACGAAGACATTTGTCTAAACTTTCAACCTGTCATCGATTTCACGCCATGCCTTAAGGGCATCGTTAATTTCAAGTAAGTACCCACAATAATCTCAAAGAACAGTTCATGCGTGAAAGCCTGTTCTCAATTAAGACGCACAAATTCGTAAACACATGGTGAAATATCCATCTAATATGTATGCTACTTAGTTCATTTCAGTAGTAGAAGATAAAATCGCCAGTTGGTTGTTGAGAACCTGACATTTAATTCTTGTGTTCCATATACCGGGAAATCCGTATCTTTCCGGAAACCGTTGTGAGTTATTCACTTCGACCTAATATCTTTGGAAGGCACTGAAAATCTCCGGGGTGCACGACAGCAAGTGCAAGGCTGAGTGCGCGAGATGCTTTTAGTACCCCACTCAGATTTCCGGCCAGCCTCTGGAGAGAGGATTTGTGATATGCTAGTGGACGAAATTCATGCATTGCATTGAATCAGATTGCGGCTTTTGACTTTTCATTAGCGGGCACGGAAGAATGTTTCACGATCGAGGCCAGTCGGACTTGAAACAAAGAAATATTCGCGTCCAATTTGGGAAAGATAACCGAAATATCTCACTGCATGTTATATGCAACTTTTCAAAATGTAAAAGTTGTTACGTATTTAGATAAAAAACAACACCGTGAAATAGGGGAAAATGTTTTCAAAGGATGAAGTTGCAACTTCCCTTTGATACACCTAATTAAAAACTTTCTTTAAATTTTCAGAATTTCATGTTATTGAAAAGCAGTAATGTTTGCCGAGTTCAAACGGCAATGGATGTGTGCTATAGAAAAGTGAGACTAGTATTTTGGCTGACTAAAATCCATATTGCAAATGAAGTTCATTGGGTAAAGAGTCTTAGCAGGTAGAACAATGAAAGGAATAGTGTGATATGTGATGGTGATATTCGAATCGGAAGCCCCCAACGGACTAGTGAGATTCTAGCAGCATGTGCGAAACTTTGAATTTTGCCTTCAGGTGAAGACTTACGGAGGTCCGTAATTTGCCAACATGACTACGTGTGATGATACAACGCTGTGACATAACGGCGACCAAGGAGAAACCCCTTACAGTTTAGAAACAACGAACGAGAGGCAAACATTCCATAGCAGACAAAAATCATGCGAATCAACCATGGGTCCAATGATGAACAGGACACAAATAGCGATTGCTTAATGCCTGTTTAGCTAATCATTTTTGTCTGCACATATTTTTCAATCCCATTGGTTTCTTTCGCTACTTCTCTGGTCATTTTCTGCGTTGCGATGTCGGGAGATTTCGGCAGACGAATACCAATACGAGTCCATGTTTCGGATTCCTGATCCATCTGTCTTCTGAGCATTACACTACTTGAGTCAGTGAGGGTGATTATTGTATCGAATCTATAAAAATCATTGATTGGTTCACACAGTTTTGTTTTCAGCCCGACTGATACTAGTTGGGGTATGCAAATGGGCGAATCTTCAATACTTGTTATCCTGAATGAATAACAGAAACTCGTGATTAGGATGATCCGCAATCATATTATCATTATTATGCTTCAAAATTTTTTAATTATTCTGAACAACGAAGGTTGGTGTATTTTATAAAAAGTGGATTGCTAATTGCTCAATATTTTAATGTGCTAAAAGCATTTCACATCTTTGAGGGACGCCATCAGGGATAAGATTGATTTTGCTAATTCAAACTTTAAATCTTTATGTGTTCGCCAGAAATAAAAACAAATGGGCGTACGGTAGAAGCATTTTGTGCACTACATCGTTTTGTTTTGCGCTAACGGAGGACATCGTATAATTCGGTTTAGCACGTTGATGGATGGACTGACTGTATTCGTGTTTGTGTTAAAACAGTCCGCGCATGTGAACGGTTCTCCCTCGTACTGACGTCATTTACAAGTTTGAACTGTTACCGTCGCTTTCACATCATGCGGCCTTCGGGATCGCTGCGAACGCGTGCACGTACGCACGCGAGTGTGTATTTGTGTATGCGCTGGATACACTAAATCCCCTTGCGTCAGACCAAGGGGACAGGTTGTCATGTGTCCTGATGGGACAACTGAGCAAATAACCAACACACCTACAAATCGGGTATGATGTAAAGGGTGCACAACTGAGCAGAATATTCTTAATTTAGCGTGAGTATGCATAGAGGATTTGCTTAAGGAGGGGGTAGAGCAAGAGCGCAAAACGCGGCTCGAATTTTTCAGTTGTGCCTGTCTATCAGTCCATCTTTTTGTTCAGTCATCCCCTTATCTCATTCCTACTCTCCACCTACGCTGCTTGTGGGTGTCCCATTTGCACATCCCGTCAGGCTCCTATGGTCTCAGCCAATTCCGCATACACATGAACAAACACACACACACGCGTGAAGGTGGACACATCCGCACGCGCTAGTTCACAACCTCATTTCTGCCCTTCGCTTCTCACGGCGATCGATAGCACGATCAATACGTATCCCGCTATTCTCTCGCTCTGATACCCGGACACTAATGTTTTCATTCGCCCAGCGAATTGCCTGACAGTTGTGCGGTTGAACAGTTACGCCATTTTTTTAGCCCCCAGGAAAAGCGTAGCATATGTTTGTGTGATCGGAAACATGTTTTATCCTGTGCTCTGATCGCAAGTGCTTTTGTAATCCCTTGTAGTTGGGAATGTGGTTCACATCTCGACCGGTTCATCGAGTCCTTCTGCTAGACATTCTTTTGATTTACAGTACCGTTTACGCGGAGACATGGGCCCCACTGGCCAGCCCGTATAATCGTTTCACGGCTAATACTGTACGAAAACGATTTGGTCAAAGCGTTGTCGAGGAAGGATTGCCATTTTGGCTGGAACGGCGAGCAGTTTTTGCGGAACCGGACACTGAATGGGGTTCGGAATCGATCGTGCCGTATCTGAGTCAGGCTGGTACGCCGGAAGAACTCGGTAAGTTAGTGAGTCTCATTTTGTGAAAACTAGTGAGCTGACTGAAGTCGGAAGATTACAAATCATATGGAGTGCGCCCAGAAGAGATTTGACGCATGTATGAGTACATGAGTCGGTAATGGATTATAAATTATCTTCCTCTTTGACAATCCCTTTCCAAATTGGACACATTAACTGGGCAAAAGAATCACACTCTTCATGTGGATTGTTTCTAATGACCAATACAACATTATCACAAACACGATTAGTATAAATAAAAGAGACAGCTTGTTATTACGCGGAACGTAAGGCAAACTAACGGAATGCGAAAACCATCCTCAAAAACTTCAAGTGCCTTTTCGCTTTTTTTATTGCGGACTTCCGCGTGATGAAAAGCAGACGGGGAAAGCCACATAGTCACGAGGACCTGCCGTTCTGTGATAAAGACCGGTAACCTAAGCCCCAGGACTTGGAGTGATGAACCACATAAGGCCCGATAGGTTAGGCGTGTTATTGGACCGGACGACGGCAAAGCTACACTGTTTTGAAAATAAACACCTAATGCATATTCCCTTCGTAATATTCAAACAAGTACCGAGCAGTTTTACATTTTGTAAACTAACCAGTGTCAAGAATCCTATCCTAGTTAAATGCTTCAGTAAATGATATAGTCTGGTTAATACCGTATGCTTTGCAAAACCTAAAGCAATAATGTAGGTGATAAATATAATGAAACTCAATTTAATCATAAAGAAAATATTTTAGTGCGTCACAATCGTCCAGTAATGTAGTTTGCAATCGCTATTTGAATGTTCTTAAGGAATGATGGAGCTAGAGTACTTGATCTGTAGAAATGATTGATTAGTACTAGACTCTATTTTCAAGTAACTAACCAGAGCGCAATGAAAAGCTCTTGAATTGAACTGTGTGTTGGACGAACGATTGTTTTTTACTACTGTAACGTGTCTGACACCTGGAGTTTTTGATACATATCCACGTTAGACGAGAAAAAATATGCGTATTGATGAAACTTATATATGGTTGACTCCAGGGAAAGGAGTGGTAATCCCCATTTGGAACTGAGGTCTTGTAAGTTCAAATTGCCGGACAGTGTAGGGATTCGTATTTATGACCTGTCAGCCAGTGCCACATGACCAGTGCCACTTTTGTTCACGGCTTTTGTCACGGTAAATACACGTGAAAATAAGGTGCATCATTACCAGGTTAGAACCTTCCCTAACTGGCTAAAATATTCTTCATGAATCTTTGCCTACTGAGGATCTGATGCCGATTAGTCAAGTTCTCAATCAGCTCACATGGCGTATTATTCGCGAAACTAATTTTATCAACAACATTGTCATGAAATTAAACTAAGAGAAGCAAACGAATTGAACCTTCAACTGAGAGACCCATCAGTAGCATTGAAAACTTGAAGGGTTTCCAGTTAGTGGATTCGGGAGGTGCGTCGTCAGAAAAAAACATTTTGATAGCGGGACTGCCCGTCAACTTCATGCATAGAAAGCGATAGAATAACGATGGATAAACTGAGACAAAATTTTGACTGTTTTTTTTAAACAGATGAAAATGACTAATTTTGCCAATTGAATCACCCAAGCTTCCAGATCTCATGTTCAGCGTGCTGCGTTATACCTTTAAACTAATTCTTCCTCTGTGTTACATTCTTTAGATGCTCACTCCTGAGTCCAAACCAAGACATCTTTGATTGACTTGATAAATGGATTGAACTAAAAATGAAGTTCACTCTTCCGTAATTTGATGTTTTGTTAAAATAATTCATTCTACCTATCTTTTTATACTGTAAGTTTATACACATACATTCATGGAAGTCAGTTTAAAGTGAACCTGTCAGGTGGCAATCGCGGTTACGTGTCCGATGCCCATTAGTGCTCAACGAGTTATTTGGATGCTGATCATACCCGTAAAAACGGGGTTGGCATGTATGGTACTGATTCAGAATGCGAGTATTCAGGTTTTCCGAATGGATGTAATTGTCCCGGATACATCTAGGATAATGTGGCAAATTGAGGTGACCAAAACAATTTACTTCCTCTTTAAATTGCCGTTGGATCGCATGTTCTTCTTGACAATTGTTTGTTCAGGTAAGTATTTGATGAAATTTAGCAAGAGATTATTTTCATCCCAATCACAATAAAACTTGCAAATTATTCATAACTATGACACTATTTTCAATTTTACTGCTATCTGAATGGCTTACTCCACTAGGTGATTGTAGTCTATACAATTTTGGTAAAATCCCGTGCCATGAAAGTGCATGATTGGTGAGAATGTTGCACTAAGCTGACCCGTTCTGTCTAATTCAGTGAGTGTGAAGCAAGTCGACTTACATATGCTCCCAAAGTAAGAGTGTTTCCCATGGGCGAATAGGAGCAACTCCGGCTGTCCTTTTAACTCATTAGCTATACTAAAACCAATGCGGTCTCCGAAATGCAGAGTCAGATGAGAATACGAAAAGTGCGCACATGTAAATTTACTTGATATTTTTATTCAAAACGGGGAATTCCTGATGCCCAATCAGTGTCACTCGCAACTGAGCGCATGACTATTTTGTGTGCCAGGAATCGCCAGCAGTCCACATGTACTCAGCGCACAATGTGTTGTTAATCCGACTAACGTTTTACTTGGGCCAACTCTTAGACTACCCCTCACCAAGCTGCTTCGTGCCAACACCATATGAATTAGCAAAGTGCAAGTAGATAACGTAAAATCAATACCGAAGAACTGAGCTAACAGACTGCAAACTCAATTATTATTTAAACCAGGTTCTGGATGACCAAGTAGAGCTCCTTCTGAGCAGAATTTAAGATTCATTCTAAAGTGACATGACCCCGTGACGTTATACGTATGTTGTAGTATGGCTAACTCAGACTTCAGCAAGGTCTTCCCAAAACGAATGTGCCAAGTGGCAAGCAGCAATATAGAAGAGGTTCCCCGATGAAGGGGGCTCGCAGTCACTCGGCAACAAGTGAGACACAAGCGATCACGACTCGGAAGGTTCAATCAAACGTGAACAACACTCAGACTAAAGCTGAAAAGGCCCACTTCCGGGCGTGTTGTATTATCACTGATGTGTTCTTGTTTTTCTATACCGAGATCTTCGGTCAATCACCCTGACATAAAGTTTGTCCATTCCGTCTGGGTTCAATGCAATAACAGAGTATCTTTATGAAGAAGGAACATATAATTTATCACATACAAAGCAAATGAGATCTGGATCGGAAGGATCCGGGGCACTCTAACAACGCGACTGCATCCGGTCCAGTGTAAAGCAAACCTGGGATCGCACAAACGAATCACAAGCGTTTTAGCCCCTTAAAGTTCAAATGATTCATCAGCATGTTACACTTCTATAAACTTAGTAGACCACAGTCTATCTTAGAATCTTATTGCTACGATAATCCTCATCTGTCTTGGTCTCTAGGGGCTATAGCTCAGTCGTACAAAATTTAGAAACGAACCAATACTGCCTATTTATTTGAAGAAATAAGACAGACCGGTTAAACACATGCAGTGAGATCGGAAATCTGGTTTTTAATGTTGTGATCTACAGCAGAAGCGATAGTAGGTGGATTACATCACCCTCATGGTGCACACAAAGCTGTTCACAATGGCCCTTGTCCTCCCGCGGGCCACGTGGCCCGAACTGACTCACTTAGGATACTAATAGGAGATAATATCACTGCGTACTGCTTCAAATATACAGTGCACTTATTACTCACGATATTTTTTAATCTCTTTACAGTGAACCCTGAGTCACAGAACGTGTTGTTATTGGCCGTAGATCATGCGCCAAATCGGAGTGTGTCCCTTGTAGCAGTGAACTTATCGGAGTATTTCCATCGAAGTGCAATTAATTCATCCAATGGTTTATTCTAGAAGTTATTGATTATAAAACGCAATTCCCGTTTGAGGGAAGACGCATTTCAATTTTCAAATAATCAAGAAAATAGGACTGTGAAGATGGAGAGCATCACTGAATTATTCAAAATTACCGGAACTAGGAACGGGATATGATTGATACTAAATAATCACTTATCCGTACCATTTAAAAATGTTTCGAAATATTTTACTAATGAAGCAAAGTGATACAAAACTTCACATTAGTAATTGATTCTAGAATGAAAACCAACCTGGACAAAAACATTCTCTGTTCAAGTATACCCCAATGGGAAAAATGTTTCAGGATTCTCTAAAGAGTTTAGTAATTAGTGTTTTAGACTGGAGTAACCCGAAAATGGATGTTTTGTGATAGCGTTTAATCTAATCGAAATCATCCACGGGATTGGTCATTCTATGGCACCACAAATATAACCCAGTAAATCTCACACTCCACAAAGCTTTCACCGTTTTGATCAACGCGTATGCGTGTTGCTCAGATTTAGCTGTGAGATAATTTCGCTCCCTCTCTCTTCCTTTTCACATCACATTCTTAGCTCCTCCGCGAGGCTTGGAAAAGAAAAGTCAACAAGAGATCGATAACCTGATACACCTGCTAAGGGAGGAAAAATCACGACAATATGGCTATAAAGGTAAGAGTATTCGTGAATTCAACGAGGTTATTACACTATTTTTGATCTGATCAACCTTCAGGTTAGTTATCATATCATTAGACCAGACGGTCGGGTTCGCTGATGAACTGCTTGCTATGAGGAGGCAGAAAAGCAATCAGTTGCGGTGGTTGTGAAACGAATCGTGCTATCAATCTGTTGGCATCTGTCTCCATCATCTTTTTTTCGATGTTCATGAAATAATTGAGAATCTCAAACAGTTACGCACAACATCAACACCTGTTCAGTTTCAGATGTAGTAGATAAGGGAAGTGAACAAAATACGAACCTATTTTATGCATGGTGCGTGTGTATTTGTTGTGCCAAAAAGTTCGAACTTGGAGCCTACGGAATAGTCCCGTTCACATTTGTTCAGGCATTGTCTTTATTGGCAGTCCGTCAGTCAGTCAGTCAGTCAGTCAGTCAGTCAGTCAATCAGTTAATTTGGCTCAAAAGCCAAAAAAGCAGATAAAGTATACTCACTACTAACTGCACTCATAATCGATCCACCAAGTCACTTACAAATAACCGTGAGTTAAATGTGTGGCTGATGTTTCCACTATTCGTTCACTCATCTTTGGGACTAAGGAAGTAGCAAAAAATGCCGTGTTCAAAGATGGAATGAACTGGTTTAAACATTCTTATTATTAAGCTAATAGTATCGAATTTGTTTGATTCGCTATAGTAGCTTGACTTGCCTTCATCTTGGATTTCTTTATTCGACGGCGATTTACACACTCACACTTCTCCCTTTATGAGTGACGATGTTTTGTTGATTGACTGGATTAGTTTAGTCTGAGATGACCCATTGCAAAATGTGTAAAGGATTTTGCTACAAACCGCGGTAAATGAATATTATTGCTTTACTGTAGTCACCCAGCTTGTCGATACTGGAGAAGACGGTTGGTTCATTTTCTCTGAAATTTTTAATCAGCCGGACGATTTTCATTTGTGGCGTAGTGTCCTGGCGATGATGGGTTGAGTATTGTGGTTAGTTGTTCTGAAAGCACTGTAGAAGATATTATGGCCCCAAAATTGCATTTAGTACTTTGTCCTGCATTATTTGTACCATAAAATAGGATTCCATTTTAGTCTACTAACACTGGATGCCGTTTCTTCTCTGGTTGAATTGATCTACAAGTCCCTAAGCGTGAAAGCCAAATATGTGCACTCTGAATTTCTTGACTATTCGTCCGCTTTTGGCTCGGTGGCCCGTTCTCTTTTAGTTAACACGCTCCAATCGTTTAACTCTCACTTCTCTTCTTAACTGGCTTAGCGATTAATTTTCTCAAAGATATCGCTGTGTTAAATTGAACAGAACACAGTCAGCGGCATCACTCAATAGTTCGGGTGTACTTCAAGTGCTGTCTTATCACCTTTCTTTTGAGACTTATATCAGTGACTTACCTATTAATCCCCTGTACAACATTTTAAAAATGCGGATGATATCGCCATTTCTATTCTAAAATAGCTCATCCAGTTCTCGACCATTTTCCACCCATTGGTTTTCTTAGAAAAGCAAAAGTCACTTCAGATACTTAATTTTCCTCCCATTAGTATAGTCTCACTGTCTTTTAAATGCATGCGGATGCATGAATGTGGTAATATATTTTGGCAAGGGCTTATCCTTTGAGGTGGGGCCATTGTCAAGACAACAGTATCGACTGGATCCGTGTTCGTTCTGATCGATTGAGATGTGTGTTTACTTTCTCCACACACACACGCACACACACACACTAGACACATACTCGCCCGCACCTTTGTATATTTTAGCCCTGGGATATTCCAAACCCACCCGTGGTCACGCCCGGAATGCCAAACGGTCCCTTCATAATTTCAGGCGGATTTCACATTCTCTCCGAGTATAGGAAGTATTTTACGTTTCGCGTTTTTCGTGTTCATTAGTAGTTCATTGTGAATAACTAACTCATTGAGAATTACGTGTACAATTATTTCTGTCAGCTGATATTGCGGGTTTCAGTTCAGAAGACCCTATCCGAGTGGTACGTCGAGAGGACAAATCCATCCCCGGTGGAGTTGGTCAACTGAGTGGATATCGTTCCCATATGAGCTGGCAACCGATTGGTAAGTGCCATTTGGTTTTTATATGTTTGCAGTGGTAAGCGTAACTGAACTTCCTGCTGATCAGAGTTTATTTCAAATATTGTACCAACACAAATATTCAGCCTACATATAGTTATAATTTCAGTCAGGAATGGAATGTGTTGGATCAAAAGTTTTGTTTGCCTAGGTATATTTCAAGAATGATTACATCTTAAGGAACAGGAATAATGTTGCTAAGACAGATTATATTTTGAAGAAGTTGAAACCCACGTTTTAAAAGTTGAAGTAGTGAGTTACACGGGGTTCGAATGAAGTAGGTGATGGAGTATCTAATTCGGGTTAATTATGATCTTCGTCCATTGCAGTGCAAATGATATGTGAACTGCACAACTGTTTTAACCTAGTTAGGGTTCAGCGGCAGCCGGTTCGAAGCCTAGACCTCACACGTAGAACGCAAGAACATCTGACCGCCCCTTGCAGTTGATCGTACTGCTTCTTCTTATCTGTACATGAATTAAAACATTTCGTCTTTGCAACCTGGTTCTACGCATCTGACCTCGGTCCTTTGGCGAATCTTAATTGACAAGAACCGGTGAGGTCAACGGGGCTGCGCGGTTCTCAGTACACCTTGTCTTCGCTCCGTTTGTGACAAAAAGCATCAGTCACATTACAATCTGTTTGTTAAATACTCAACTGGGTGTACATCGGGTAATTTTATCATTTTAATTTGTTATCAACAGTCGATCATAGGATAATTGTTTCCGAATAACTGCGTGTAGAAACGGGGAAATCTCATTATAATCGAAAATTAAATCACAACTACCGTCAGATTAATGAGATCTGTTAAAATTAAAAAACATATCTAGAAGATATGGTTACTGTTAAGTGAACCGTGCAACTAACTCTGGTCTGAGTACCATGCCTGTAAACTCTTTCGATAGCCCATAATTATACAAACCTCTGTTCCGGAAAGTGAAGAATTTGCTACGGTACAAATAGTTCATGTGCAAAATATTTTGAGGAACAATGTATATCGCTTTGGTGAAAGGAAAGTTCCGCAACAAAGAAACGCTGAAGGGCTGTCAGGGGAGAGGGTGTCAGTTCACAAACTCGAGCGCGTGAAGGCACGGACGATTTGATACAGACTCATATTGCTTAATAATCTCTAGGCTTCTCTGTGTTTTTAAAAATATGGCTTTGGAGTTGTTTGATATATTTCAGTCTGGTGTTACACAAATGAGGGCTGCTTTCAAAGAGAATAAAACACACCAAAACAAAGTATACTGACTGTAAAATCTACCATTGTAACTTTCTGTATATTGATTTAAGTGATTCAAAAATTGATAATTTTGTGTGATGTAAGTTTATGCATTACCCGACAAAGAACACTTGAAAACCATTTTATCTCTAATGTCCGCTCCTTTTGAGCATCCTACCGGGACTTGAACAATTATTTTTCAACATGAGAGCCAAAACCTTCAACCATGGGTCACAAGATTGGAAGTTTCATTATTGAGCAAGATAGAAACATTTAGCTTATCACCAAGGTATAGTTATGTTCCATTATTCGTAAACACTTAACACATGTCTCCTGAGGGTTTTGCTGTTGGAATGGATGTGATCTCGGCCGTATAGTTATGTCTTTCTTGTTGACCACCTCAAAAGGATTTATGGTTGTCGGTGAATTCATCTGTCGTGCTTTGAGAATCGCAGTGAGTATAGAAAATAAACTCGACAGCAACGGAACGCAAAAAGTGAATATGGAATAGCCACGCACACCACCATCACCGCCCTAAACCATAAAAGTTTGTCTTTTATACCGGTCAAATGAGACGACTTCTAAATTGTCCTTTATGTATTTCACAAATGCATGCTGTCCAGGTCACATCCCCACCCATTGGACAGTGCTGCATTCAATTTGAACGGCGCAATATTTATGCATACAGCGAACTAAGTATTGACAGAATCTTTCGATGGTATCAAATCGTATAAAGAAGTAATAGAAATGCTTCTCCCTAGAGTTTGCTTTGGTTAGATACTTGACGTTTTGTGTTCATTCGAATTGACCTCACTTGCAAAATGTGGTGAAGGGGGAAAAAATTCAACTTAAATGCATTTCCTTACTCTATAATCAACGTATTTGAAATCGGAAGTAGGGGTCGTTTTGAGTGATCCGTTAACATGAAAATCTTGAAGGTACTACGGCAATTAACATCCATTTACTGATATTTGTGAAGTTGAAGACATTTATTCCCTCAACAAACGAGTCAAACGTACTGGCCAATTTGTTACTGCCCACTCATGATTGCACTCAGGAGTGATATCCGTCTTTCAAAATTAAGCCGTTTGAACTCGCAATTCCAGTCATAAATGCTTCTTGTGTGATATATGCGCTAATGACCTGAATGGTACTCGCCTTTTTGATGCAACGCGCTCGCGCTCGCGTAAACCGCTTGTGTGTCACATGACTGCGCTCAATATTAAACCGCTCAATATTGCCTGGACATTGTTTTCTGTCTTCATGCAGCATACATAGACGTTGTGAGGTTTTATGCAAGGCACACATCATAACAAATAGTGAATTTTTAGAATAAAATGAAATACTTATAATAAATTTATCAATGAAGGGGCCAGGTAAAGACCTATTTTAAAATTTGACTTTGCCATACAACGGTTTTGACACTAATAATCCAGATTCTCGTTATTTGATTACAGCAATCGGAGTCGTTTGTTCCGTTTTCGGGATTATGGTGATCACTGGAGCTGTGGTTTACTATCAAAAGTAAGTGGAACACACGATTGATCTTAAGAAAACCGTTTCCAACTCATGCATATTGCACGCAGAATTGGTTGCACAGTCTTGATGAAAAATCGCGTACGAGACCAGCCTGTGATTGAGATTCACGCTGATCGGTAGACGAGTTATCGCAAAACAACGCACTTTGTCTACCGCAGCTGCTTAGTTCTTGAAATCATCGTCGTTCTAATTGCTGAGTCAACACGGATAAATGTGGTCTTTGGGAAAACAGCTTTTTGTTTATTTCAGCATGGTATTTATCATCTGGAACGGTAGTGGTCTTCAATAAGTTAAGTGTGTAAAGGTGCTCTACAGGGTATGAACAGCTGTGCCATATCCTACATAAAGCATTCACGCTTGTCATGCACCACACATCAAATTTCATTACTTGTCTTTTTCTCAGTCCCTTATGATATATATCTACATATATGCACATATTTTACAATATATATTATATGATTGACCGGAAAAAATTCCGTGGACGCACACCACCGGTTTCGCGATTCTTGCCGCTCGTCAGGCATACGTATCCGGTTGATGAATCAATACTATGATACGATGTGTGTAATCACGTTAGTTTCTTTTAGACTACACAATTATCGTTCCGGCTCTGGCCTATGTAGTTTATTTATAACAGTGGTAGCGTAGCCAAAAGATTTTCCCTTCTTCCTGAAAGTGCGAGGATTTTGGACATACATCAAAGTGTGCTCGGAAATAGGTCCAAGAGCAAGTGTTTTTCACATCGTTTTTCATGAATAAAGACGTATTGGTCACGTGCAGTAGTGAATTTCTTTTTCCAATTATCACAACCTTGCACTTATTTGTTTCTTGTCTTTCGGCTACATGTTTAATTGACAAACAAAGTACCAATCCGAGAGATTTGTCAAGAAAAAGATACACTATGCAAGTAAACCAGGTATAGCTGGAAAATGATTAACTGCACGAGTATCGTTGTTTACGAAAATCAACCGTATCTCCTAATGTGACTGACTATTGATCATCTTAGTCACGATGTCCCCGATTAGGATCTCTGATGCGGTCTGTGTAACTGAACGCATTGACCAGGATTTTCGATTCCTCAAACGAAATCTTATTTGGATCAACTGTAGTCCTCTTCCATCTATTACTTGTGTCAGTAAACACCGGGGAGGCGACAAGAGCAACACGTAGTCCAGCCACTGAAATCCATTCAGAGGATACACTTGCGTCAGTGGGAGGCTTTGTCTACTTAATGCTTTTCGCCCAACCTCTGCATTGCTTGTATGGTGGTTTCAGCAAGCTCATACGGTCCGAGGTAGAGATCAATATTTAAAAATCGTTCGTTTATTTCCTTATTTCGTTCTTAACGACCGGGTTTGAGTGTCGCACTATATACTCAACTTTTCAATAAGATGGATATCACTGTGATGCAAATGTGCATTAGATTGGTAACCACCAAACATGTATTCTGCACACGTTAAAACATCTCATAAGGCACATTATATATTCCCTGAACGGTTAAAATCCCCAAAAATGAATACTATGTTTATGTTTATATAATAACTAAACTTGGCATACAAATAGTCGACCTTCATAGATTACGTTGGTTGGAAAATGTTACGCATTTCACCAAATAGGTTGCCACGACGAGCGATGTTCGCCGAGGCATGTAGTGGGTGGAATAAAGCCATGGGTGGTCAAGCTAAGACCTGGTACCAGGGTATGAAAGCTCTAACCAGGATACGCAGTCACATAAGTCCCGTTAGGTCACCTGGTTGCATACCTCGGGATGATCGTAACCGATGGTTAGAGACAATGAGTGATATGGCTGAGTGTCGTAAACAATGGAGTTTGTGCACCTTCTCAATTTCTTTGCAACATAAGCCCACTGAAATTCTCCATTTTCCACTCGACTCAGTTTTCAACTTTCTTATCTTTATCTTACTGTTCATCCAAATGGGTAGCCAAAAGACATCAACCAAACCCGACGCACAAAGGTGCGTGCATGGTTCATGACTGTTCAAAGTGAACTGAAACTGTACTTGGCACAGCGATGGTAACATGGTTCATAACGGACAAAGCTTGCTCCTCTGCAAATGGAACTAACTGAGCCTAATTTGGTTAAGGTCGAAAGAGTTCAAAAATAATTAAATTTTCAATTGTTTAAAGTCAATTTTTATTTAATCGCTAACAGATTCAAAAAAGCAATAAAAATTGAATGAAGAATGGTTTTGTTGAAGGAAGAACAAACGGTTGTCGAAGAGGTAGAGTTTTCAGAATTGTCGAACAAAAATTGCATTATTTATTGAATACTTTATTTCACCTGAACTATTTCAAAATAAACATTTCTTCCTTGGTTAACCTCGCTTATATTTCATTGGTTGCACCTCCCCAATTCAACAAACTTTTAAGAGCTTTCGGGATTTAATTTTTCGATTTATTTAATTCTTGTATAATCCTTTCGGTTCTGTGGTTTATAAAAAAACGAAGTATCTCAACCTGTTTCCAGTTGGAGCCATCATAATACCGTTTATTCAACGTGGGATTTGTGAGCACCTGGAATCTAATTACATAGTAAAATTGTCCCCATTGAACGAGTGCGTGATCGCCCCCGGATGGAAAGACAAACACGGCACTTTGTGCAGCGCTACTCTAAAAACTTCAAAAAGCAGGATTTCGCTCCCACCAGGTGTTCGAAGCCAATGGCCTAGGTGAAATAAATTTGTTGAAGGACGCCTACTGTTGTCTGAAAATATCATACCGTCAAATGTTTGGTTTAAATTTTAAATTTTGTTTTCGATCAAAAAGATTGCACGCATTTCGTTAGAAAATTTTAAATTCAATTTATGTTAGAGTAACAATCAACCGTGGAGGCTTTTTTTACGTTCACAGCGATAAAATAGCTGTTCATTCTTTGCCGATCAGGGCTGTTACTGGTAGAACGCATTGTATAGTAACCTCTGTTTTTACGCAAATTTCATACGACACTGTACCCACGCACATACACACACGCCTAGTTGAATGCAGCTCTCAGCTGCCTCAAGTAAGATTCTTGTTTTGTGCACACAATGCACACTGCTGAATTCTGAGTTATTGTATAGTTCCTGTGTTGTTCATCTGTTCTACGTTACCGATGTTTGTAAGTAGAAAAATTTGATTGTATTTTGTAACTGCGTGTTAACAGAAAATCTGGCTTCTACGGATGTGGCGTATTAAAGTTATTGGAATCTTACAAAAAGATACATTTGGAGTGACTAACCAAAAATATAGCTTGTTTGAAAGAAACGTTATCTTTTGGCCGGGTTCGATCCGTGTGAATAAATAAGCTTAAGTGTCCCAGTGTATCCATCTGTGATTCCGTTCAAGATAATTATCTCATCTTGCGTAGTTGCTAGAATTACCATGGTAACAATACTATTATATACTGATATCCATTTTTCGTTGGTTAATCTGATTACCCTAGAAAAATTATTGATTAGATATCGCTTGCTTTGAATACTACGTCACAGGTGTGTTATAACTCAGATCGTATCTGATCGCATGGATTATGGATTACATGTAGTGGGTATGTCTGCTATAAGTCGCGTAAGCAAAACATGGAGTTTCAAATTTGAAGTAGGACTTATGGGTTTCCCGTGGGAAAATATCCTAAATGTTCCTTTGATAAGTTTCCTATGCAAATTATAGTTTTCAAAATCAAGTTTCCTGGAAGTACAAATTGGATTTTATGGTTTGAATTATATATAATATAATAACGTGTCAGTACTAAGGAAAAATTGGTCTTAGAACAAAATATTTTCTATTGTTTTTGCTTTGATTGGCTGCACTCAAGATGTTCAGTTGATCATAAGATTGCATCATGAAATGCTAACTTTTGAATCACCTTTTGTCCTAAAGAACTGGTCTTAACTCACCATCGTTTTACTCATTAAACTAATCATTCCAGAGTTCAGTTGCCCAAGAAACGGAATCAAGAAAACGACTTTGGAGGTCTACTACCTGCAAAGCCCAGTCCGACCGGAAGTTTATTGGGCGATGCAACCAATGTCAGTTTGGACGGGGATCGTAAACTGGCCCACTCGGCACAAATGTACCACTACCAGCATCAGAAACAGCAGATGTTAGCCGTTGAAAGGTAGGTTGCGTGGACATTGGATTGCGGAAATCTGTTGGGAATTTATGAAACACAACAGGGACGAGGTCAACCCACGGGTGCCTAATCCCATTTCAAAATATATTCACTAGCTAGACAATACTGCTTTCCCCATCATAGAAATGCATGAAAACTTGGAACTCAATCCATATATGCGCAATACGGACAGGAAAATTAATTAAATCGCTATAGTTTCTTGAATTTTGCTAACCGAAATGTGATCGCTTAAATCAGTGGTGTTAAGTATTTGATTATGTTTACACGGAGGAGCTTATTTGTTTATTTCGTGAAATAAATTTGATTTCTTTTTCACAGAGCCAGTGATGCTGCTCAAGGAAGTGAAGAGGGTAGTGAATCGGATGTTGAAGAAGGTGATTTTACGGTTTACGAATGTCCAGGATTGGCCACGGTACGTACGCGTTCCAAAAAGAGGATGAAACCAGAGAATTTCAATCAATCAATCAATCAATCAATCAATCAATCAATCAATCAATCAATCAATCAATCAATCAATCAGTCAATCAGTCAATCAGTCAATCAATCAATCAAACAATCAATCACTCTGTTCACAAACGATTGTTTTCCAGTGTCCGGCAGCTTTCTTTTCGCGTTTGACTTGCCAGATGACCAGAATGTTCATTCTCAATGAGAACTTAAAGGTTAAATTCCTCTAAATTGATAGCAAATAAGTGGAATACAATTTCGGAAATATCTGCTTTTAATGTTCTAAAAAAATGTTACACTAACGCATTGTTCACTTGTTGGCCAATGCAAATCACGTGCCAAGTAGTTTCACATTTTCTTATGTGTTAACTTAGACTAATTTGTTCATGGTTCTCTTACATTCTCACTAATTGTGCTTGATTATCATTGGGTGATACTTCCCAATCAAACCTATGATACCATCAACAGTGTGCGGCAATCCCATTAGAAGCAGCAAAATAAAGAGTTTATCCCAAGCGTACCTGAAGTTGTTTAATTTAAACCAATTACGGAATAATTACGGTTAAGCATTTTCCTCCAGAAATTTGATGGCCTCCGAACTATTCTAAAACAACAATCGTTCAATTTAAATTTGCGTGGAACTGCTTTTAATGAGTATTTAAGCAAAATCTACAATGATGGGGACGTGATCTTCATGTTAGGATTGTATTGTTGTTATTTCTGATTGCCACTGACATTTGGGTAGTTGCTCACGTTACCAGTTCATCAGATGAGGCAGTTTGGAAATTAGTTTGTGAATGTTGTTTGTACACTGGAAACGCTTCAAGTACTGATATATTTGACAGAATTAGGATATCAGATCCGACTGAATTTTAACGGAATCAGAGCTTTAGCGTAAGTTATATACCTGAATTTACCTATAAATATATAATCCAATATCACACATATTTTTCCATTTGGCGTTTTTGAATACGAAGTCCATTGCATAATAATTAAGGCTTTTTAGAAAGTTTTGCTGAATTGCCAGACAATTTTCTGCATGATCCAGAATACTTTTGTGGAGTAATTTTCAACATACTCCCTGACCAAATATTCCTGATATTCCAGACCGGGCAATTAGAGGTTGAGAATCCTCTGTATGAGGGAGACGCTGCTACTAACGGGCCGAGCACAAACGGGAGTTACGGTGAAATTATTGGTGCTAGTGATCTGGAAGAAAACTCGGATAGCACACCGACTACTAAGGCGGAAGAACATTGAAAACAACACACAGTCCGATTCCGGAACTGTCAAGCCCAGGTGCGTGTGCAAACCATCAGACGAATTCCACCTCCCCGCATTCTACCCATCCACATCTCAGTGACATGAGTGATCCGACGGATGAAAGTCGACTGCTGCTCTACGAATCTCATGCCGTCCACTCACAAGCAGTTCAATCATCATAATCATCGTACATGTCCTTGCAAACACACATATTCCTTCTTATAGCTATTCCTCATCGGTGTTTGTCCTGTCTAAGTCCATCTAATACATCATCCAGAATGTGTGTTTCGTGAGTGTCCTTGTGACGTCACGTGATTTCGATTTCAGAGTTTCATGGATTTTATTGTAAACTCTTTTCCTTTTCTTATTAGAGTTTAAGTCAATAATGATTTTAATGTGACGTTCTATTCATCTCGCCCACTGGACCCTCCCCCACAGATTGTTCAATTTTAAAAACATGGAAAAAATTCAGAACTCATGGGCATAACTGGTTCGTTCCTACCTATTTATTTAAAATGGCAGTGTGATTTTCTTTTCTATCAAATGATTTCTTGTTTTCAATTATACTTGGATGTCTATTTTTGAGCGTCTTTCCCAGCTTAAGCCCTAACCAAGATATACTTCACGTCTCCCAGGCGCTGAAACTTGAATGAACTTCCTATGAGCGATGTGTCAATTCAGTGCTATTGTCCTTGAGCGTTTGTTTTGGTGATTTTGTGTCATAATGTGTTCGTCTAAGTGTGTCTGTCTGTTTGAGCGTTTCTCTATCATATTGTGCACAATTTTGCCCGAATGAATGAGTGTTCATTGGTCAGTTTATCATTCTTTTGCACCTCTCAGTAAAGATTCGTTCATAGGCGAACTTCACACTCTGAAGCAAGCACTCATGCACATGGACAACCTCAAATTCATACTCTGCAATTGTTTTGGGTTGAACGGGGTTGAGGTGGGGCCGACAAGGCACACGACATCTGGACAGCGGATCGGCCAGATCAAATCACATACAAAGAACATTCACGTGATTCTTGCATAGATCGATACAGTTCTCTCATATATCACATGACACTATACTGAATCCAATAAAGCAAACATATGATGCAAATGGCACTGCCTTTTTTCCTATTGATGAACTCTATTTAACTACCTCAATCGATTGCTTGTGATACGCGAACATTGAAAAAAGGTAGGAAGCGGAGTTATTGCTACAGTTGAAAATTACGTATAACTCATTACTATTCAGAGGTTTTCCTTTAGATGGTAATTGCTACACCTCATTATCGCTCGTAATCCCGGTTCATCCAATGATCCAAAAGTTTATCGAAAGTGAATCATATTAGTTAATGTTTTCTTATTTGTAAAATATCGCTGTTAACCACCGTAGGGTCTTCTCGTGACGATAACGGGATTTCCATCGCCGATTTACCGTTCAAGCTCGTTCAAGCAATAAGTTTACTCCAGAGAACGAAGAGAATGAGCAGCTTGCATTTCTGGACGTTCTACTAAACCACCAATCAGACGGAACTATCCAACGCGCCATCCACTGGAAGCCATCATGGAACAATCGGTATATACATTTCAAAAGCCATGTGTCTTTGGAACGGAAAAGAAACCTGATTCATTGCCTCGCTACCAGGGCGTGAAGAATATGTGCGGACGATACCATTGATAAAGAATTGAGATTTATTCGAGGAATTTTCCTTGAAAACGGATACCCAGAGTGATTTGTGGACAACATTTTGGGTCGTCATCGGTTGCCAAATAAGACCACTATTGCGGAGAAAAAACGGTTTACATATCGCTACCTTTCAAGGGCGACACAACTGCTGATATGGTGAAACGTAAGCTGAGTATAGTTGTAGAAAAAACATTCTCCGCAGCAAAAATGCGTATTGTGATTATCTCCAGGCCAACTTTCAACTCAAAGATAAATTGCCTGTTATTGCCGTCTCTTTCTGCGTATACTTATTTACCCATTCCTGTGGGGCAAGGTGCATTGGCTGCACGAGCAGAAGTTTATCTGAACTAGTCCGTGATCATCACTCGGCCTGGTTGAATAGTGGAGTAATTAGGACCATCAACAGCTCATTCGTTTCAAACCTATTGGAATCAAACCACGTAGTTAGTGTGCCCGAGGCGCTTCGATCCCTCTATTTACTTCGCACCCGCCGATCTAAGAGGATTGGATATCGCATTGTGACCACAGCTGAAGCGATCGGAATCCACCTACATACGCCCAAACTATGCTCCCAAAAACAGTTCGCAAGAGCACTCGGTCTTCCATGGCCAACAGCACACACGGCACAGCCACCCCCCACCCACCATTAATGACACAAACCAGCGTGCATGTGTGAGGACCAATATGTGAGCAACATCCGGTCATGGAACTGGAATATTGATTATGTCTTTCCAACTTATCATGATTTTCCCCCGCTTCTAAACAGTTTGATTTAAACTGTAATGCATTAGCCTGTAGAAGAATCACCGAAAACGAGCTTGTTCGCCAGTTTGTGTTTTCTTACAATGAGTAATGATGGTGCATTCGGATAATATATATATATCTATATATCTGTAAATGAAAAAGTTCCATGATTTACCTGTGGGTGGAACACTGCCAGGTTGCTCAAGCCAAGGCAGGTAGATTTTCCTGGGTAATCCGTAGCCTTTGGCTGGCCAAAACCTGACCCGCGAAACAGCTGGGAGGTGTGTAAAAATCCACAATCCATTTAGGCAGTCTGTGTTCAGATTCTCGGATCATACACCCTTTGGACAGGCTCAACCGTCCAAGGTACCCCGTACACCTCAATGCTCAATCAAGCCGTACAGAGGATGGTCATATCGAAAGAGTATACCGTAAGTGCTCGTGGGATGGACAGTATACACATGTCAAAAGTTTCGTCCTACTGGAATACAAAAGGAATTTAGTGAACTGTCTAGCATACAGGACAAAGAGAATTCATAGTCCGGAAACTCTGAACGAACAGTTGACCTACATAAGACACATCCTCAGGAAGAACGGATACCCAGACGAGTTTGTTCGACGACATTTAGAATCGAAACCAACCGATGCAAAGTACAACTGGCTAGAAGGGAGGTTTTTGTCAACGTTCCCTTCAAGGGAGATAAAGCATTATAAATCCTGCAATATCGGTTATCCAAGGCCGTTGCCAATTGTTTTCCCGCTGCGCATTTGAGAATTTTATCCAGGACTAAACCATTCATCGTTCAACAACTAAAGAATAAATTGCCTCGTCGGCCCCATTCTTTTATTCTATATCAGTTCACGTACACTGGTAGTGCTCGCTATATTGGACACACAACGAGGCGTTTGTCCAAGAGAATATCTGAATATTGTCCGACCATTCTTCGGAGAGGAACAGTGAGAACCTTGAACAGCTCAATTGTGCAACATTTTGTCGGCAGTGGACACAGAACGGACCCAGAAACATCGGTTGCAAGTTTCTTCGCTGCACCTAAGAGCCACATCAAAGGATTGCGTGGGAAGATCCTAACAACCACGGAGTCCATAGCAATTAGGATCATGAAGCCGGAGTTGTGCAAGCAACGTTATCCGGTTCACGCGCTGCAGTTATCATGGCCATAAGAACAATTACGCATATCTCTATGTGACACATTCTATTCTCTCACTCCCCTCACGCCTCATGTACTATCTTTCTCGCACACTTTCACAACTGTTATATTCATTCTTGGCTAACTCTTTTCATCTCATGTCCAGTTCACACATTTTCACCCGGATTTTCCCTGTCCAATTATCGTGATCCCATTGCTTGTTGTCAATCGAACATTTTGCACATAGACATTCACTCAACTTCAGCCT